ATTAAAAAATCCGCATATAATAAATTTCTATATTGACCTGAACTATGTTTGATGATCAACCATTGTGACCAACCCCACCAAATTATGTTGTGCATAATAAATTAACCAATCAAAAGGAATTTCGCGCTCCATGATATTTACAACTTGCTCAAATCCAACAATAAACATCTTAAATGAAAAATATTTGCAAACGTATAAATTGTTCTAAATTGATCGATACCTTGGTCACAATGCTTTGAGAATTTTGGCTCAATTCAGTTTGATAATGGAAAAATCTTTTTATAACGAATCATCAGTTTCCAATTACAAAATATGTTATAGGTAACTTCAATACATCCAAACTTCCTGCTCATAGTAAACACTTGTTTCACAAATGCTTCATACTAAAATCACCATGTACAATCTTTTGCATTAATATTCAAAACTCTATTCTTCAGGACCTACCATTTCGACTGATATGGTGAAGACATCTTATGATTGGGTTATGTTTCTTGTTATTTAAAAAAACAATTATTTTTTATTTATTTATTATAGATTGTATATATACATATTTAAAAAACAATAAATCTTCATAAATCTTTTATAATTAATTTTTCTCAAGAATAAATTCATTATTATCATAAGAAGAATTTTTTTGTTTCAATTTTGAATCATCTTTTTTATTATTACTACTACCACCAACATTATCATCAAAATGATCATATTCTAATTCGACTTGATTTCCAATTTCATCATCTTCATTATTATCAATGCCATCAATTTCATCATCATCATCATCATCATCATCATCATCATCATCATTGCTATCATTATTGTTAATTTGTTTTTCAAAATAATCGGTTATTTTCATTAATAATAACTTATTTTTTTGTAGAATGAAAGGAGTTGACTCTTTAGTTAAAGCTTTAACAAATTGCGTATTAACAATAAAAACACTAACTCCACCAATTATAAATACATAACTCCAAGGTATTACCCAAGCAACAAGACTCAAAACCATCAGTCCTATTATAACAACACTGGTAATCCTGAGAGTCAAAGCTTCATCACTCCAATCTATATATTTAATTAGTGGCAAAACAGAATCATATCCGTCTGATATCATTCCCATTAAATTTTGTATATTTTGCATATTTTTCAAATAATCTACAGAATTTTCAGCAGCCAGCAATATTAAATTTGGATATTTTAATTTTTTAAATTTTTTGGTTTTTGATTTTTTTGATTTAATAGATTTGTTTTGTAGAGGTGGTGGTCCTTGTGGAAATTTTTTTTGATAAAAATATATTGAAGTAATTAACAATCCTACTAAAGGCAAGATAATTAATAATTGTGGATATAAGCCTAATTATTTATTAAAAAATCAATATTGGTGTTAATTAATAATATTTAACCTTTTTTTTTTTTTCATGGAATGAATTCAAACAAAATGAATTTAACAATGACAACAATAATAACTTACAAACATTGATATAAACCACCATTGCTAATAATGTATTCGCAGGATTTTTCCATGTGATAAGATTTTCAACAGAATCTTGAATATCAAAAATAAAACCACATTTTTGCACAAACTTTCTAAAATTGACTGTGGTAGTTTGCAAATTTAGCGGAGGAGGATTACTTGTAGATGATGATGACGAGGATAATGAGGAATCATGTGTTGATTTTGATGCATTCTCAACATTAAGTGCCGAAGAAACTAAAAGATCATGAATTACTTTTGTACTAAAAGTGGTATTATTAGAAGTCATCGTTGTAGGTGATAAAGGTTTTGCAGCTCTAGGAGTAATTGATGAATAATCATTTTTGGTGATGGTGTTAGGAGAATTAACAGATGTTTGTATGTTTGGTAGAGATTGATTTTTTTGAGGTTTTTTAAATTTTGATGTGAGCCTAATGCTATTATTATTATTATTATTATTATTATTATTAAGGCTAGAAGGAGGAGAAGAAGTGATAATTCTGGCAAATGAATCAGAAGAACTGGAACGTCTTGGTGTTTTAAAAGAAGTTGCTGATTTCTTTTGATTTATTATATAATTAGTGGGGCTTTCAGGGTCTGTTGTTGTACTGAGCGAAGAAATTTGATTAGGAAGGGGAAGGGAATGACAAATAGTAGCGGGTGATGACTCAGTTGGCGTTGTTGATTTTGGTATTTTAATTGGATTGGTTGTTGAATTAATTATTTGAGTATTAGATTTTGTTGAATTAGAATTATTATTATTATAACCACCACTACTATCATTGTTATTATTACTATTGCTGTTATAATTAATGTTGTTGTTTCCTGTCTCGTTAAAACCTTTAATAGAACGACTTGCAGCAAAAGAATCTGGATAGATGTAATTTTTCTTAGATCTACAATTTTCACTTGCAAACGCTTGACACTTGGAGTGAGATATATAGCCACATACTAAATAAATAAATGCATATTAATAAATGCATCAGTAAATAAGAAATATATTTTAAATATATTTGCCTTTGCAACTAACTCCTTGTTTTACTAAGCCCCAAAGTAATTTATTGCAATAATCACAATAAGTTGGTTTTGGAAAGGTAGTTTCTTCAAATTGATGTTTTGATGTTTGCATTTTATTATTTTATTTAAAGAAAAAATTATATTTGATTTTTAATACAAATTTAGGTTTTTGCTTTGTAAATCCTTTTCGGAAACGACTCACATGTTTATGTAGCGTTGGTACGACATTAAAAAAAGAAACTAAGAGTTTTTTATCATTGTGAAAATTGAAATTTATAATTAATTTTTTGGGTGTTTGGATATGAAATTCTGATTGGCTGCTAATTTGAATTCACGGGATTTCATTTTCACGCACAACATCGTCAATGACCCAGATAAATAATGTTAATAATAAACATATTCATATAACATTAAAAATAATAAAATGGTCAAGGAAACATAAGCTGATGCTAAATACATGAACAACCTGACTTGGTAAGAATTGAAGAATAGCTTGCTCCTATTCCATATGGCGAATTAATGACGCGACTAGAGAAGTGAAAATTATAACATTAGCATTATACGGATGAAATATAATGCTCATGGAAAGCACGGAGTGATGCAGTAAAAAAAAATTTTTTTATGAGTGAAAAAAGGTAACAACCAATGCCACAAGAATTTAAATTAATGAAAAAAGGTGCTATTTATAACACTGTTGACTTGAATTGG